ACTCATGATCGTCTAAGAATTGTCCTGATACATTCAAAATTTGGATTTTTCAAACAAATTTTTTAACTTAGCCCAGACCAGATCCAAAATGGCGTCGAGCTCTCATATTTCGATCAATATACAATTATTGAAGGCTCTGATATCAGAAACGAAAGGGTCGGGACAATTTTACGACAATTTAGAACTCTCTGGTAATCGAGAAACTCTCATTTGAACGGGATAAAGGCAAAAAAGTGTCTTATGCGCTTCTATGCTAAAACGATGGGAATACGAGGTCTCAGAGTAAAGATTTAATTGACCTGGAAATCACAGATGGCGCAGGGGGTCCCTCTGCAGTCAATTAGGGCCCCAGAAGGCATAATCCAGAGGATTTCTGGAGATTTACTTCGATTTCTTTATAATTATTGTACGAAAAGGACAGGTGGAGTATGCAATTTGGTACAATACCTAAATATAATTCAACACATCTGTCGATATAAAAACAAACGTCAGCAACGTAGGTATTTAGAAAAATCTTCTTTATCGACGTCTATCAAGTTCCTTGACGTGTTTCACATCACCTTAAGCATACAGGCTTTCTTACTAAACTAATTAGACTGATCAGGTTTGCAGTCGAGAAAGAAATGACCATTCGAAAATATGTACTTAAGGGGGTTGGTAGGTTGTGAATTGCGGTTTAATTAAAGTAAGCTTAAAAGAGAATAAAATAGTATAGGAAATATTTATTTTCTGTTTTATTTCAGGTTTTATAAAGAATTTAATATGAATACAAATTTTAAATGTTAAAAATGACGGGATATGGAAGTTGGAGATTTCTGACTGTTTTTCCCGACGTACATGATTCGAAGAAAACGGGAAGTCTCAAATAAAACGTTATAGTCGTTTCAGGAACTACAAAAGATTATTTAAGGATTTTCAATGAAAAAAGAAATTTGGTTTATAGTAAAACAAGCCAATGTAAAACTCTTTTTCATTGGTTTATGCACTTTAATCGTTATCTTTTGAACAAAACCTTTCGTCGAGATTCCAAACCATAAGTTCTTAAATAATCATTTATAGTTTATAAAACTGCCTTAATTTTTTGTCTCAGACTCGTCGTTCTCCTAGAATCATGTACACCGTGAAAAAGAAAATCCCAAATGTCTAACCTCCGCAAGTCCGCTATTTCGAAACATTGTGAAATTTTGTTACCTTAAATCCGCAGGAAAACATAAAATGAAACAACCCCGTAAGCAAATATTTCCTATACCTTTTCATTCTGTTTTAAACTCGCTTCGATTAACCCCTTGTCGTACTAATTAACTCGGTAAAATCCAAGCCCGTGATCCATGAAAATTGTCAAAGTCGGCCGAAATGACGAGGGAAAGATGATTGCAGCACGGGACAATTTTTTTACCCGACATTGAGATTACGAGTCTGACTCATCAAAGTACGGCAAGGGATTAAAACGCATTTTACAACCCACCAATCCCCTTAATGAAAATAACTTTAGAAAAATTAAATAGCTGAGCCCATCCCTCTTCGATGGACCAATATTAATTAAATTGGCCTCGAAAGTATATTTAGCAAAATAAGATATATCATTTAGGAAAGTGTCGTTTAGCAAAATCGAAACGACGGACGTTGAATCAACGATTATAGGGATCTAAACGTTTTCGATAGACCGAAACCAGCCGAACATTGCCCAACCACCATTTGCTCGCTACAATTGTCTTGATAAAACGGGAGAAAATAACTTAGTTTGGTGTAATTGTGCGCCGAGTGTTGTAAATAAGTGTTGCACTCTGGTCTAAGTGGTTTCCGCGGTCGCAAAGTCCTGCAGGGTTTTCAATGAATTAACGCTTGCCACTGTACAGGTTGGCCGGTGGAATCCGTGGGTCGCGAGTTATGCCACACTCGGTGGTATGTAGTAATTAGCAACATTGCTGCCAACCCTCGCCCAACCCCCCGGCTCGGAATCGTATCGGGCGGACTTCATCCGAAGGAATCGGGCCGTATTGTTTTGTTAATTATTGCAAGTATTTCTCAGGCCGAGGAGGCGACGCGATTCGCAACAACCGGCGGTAAAACGCGGACGACTCCTCCGCAAGACCCTTAAACTTTGTCCGCCCCGGCTCGAAGTTTATTAAAGTCCCTGGCATCTGTAGCTGAATAATCACTGAAGTTGGCCATTATGGTCGGCGCAAAAACTAATTTGCCGCAGTGCCGAGCTCGCGCGCGAATAAAGCAACGAGCTTCCCTGACCTCCGCGGAGAGAAAATGTCCTTAGGGGCCGCGGCGCAAACCCTGTGTGTAATTAATATCATCGCCGGAAGCTTCCCTTTGTCCGTGACTTCGTTCCCCGGGATCGAATCTTCTGACTTGCGATCGTGCTTCCTTTTTCATCTCACGCGAAACGTTTCATTTAGTTACTTTCTCGTGATACGAGCTCGCCACGTCGTCGCGCTTTCGAGCAGTCGACGCGGCGGCCATATTGACAGACAGGACGACAGATCGTCAGGCGGTCGTATTGACGTACGACGGATTATAAGAATATATCATTTCTTTTCTAGTAATCGGGGCAAAGTTCAAAGGCACAAAACGCTCAGATTCTCGTTCTCATATTCCGATATACTATACTTGTCTACGGAATTTAATTTCTTGTCGAGGGACTCTTAGTGCTCCAGAATTACAAAAGTCATCGATTGAATTACAAGGAAAGTATCCCAGGAGTACCTTCCTACTTTTGTTGATCGTGACATTGGTTGTAGTCCACTGAAAAATGAGAGGCACGTATTGCTTATACGTGCTAATTTCGGTGTTGAACGATTGAAAACCACTCCCAAAATTGACCCACAAAAATTGTTTTTTTCATATTTTCTCGTTAACAAAATAATACTTTTTGACTGAACCAGTTATAGTTTGCTCACCTTCTAACACTGCTACGATATATCAGATTTAATTCTGTTTATCTTCTTATATTCATCCGTCTTCGGTTTGTACATTGTCGGACATGCATACATTTGCCTTTTATATTGGCAGTGCTATATCTCCATTAGAGGAATTCATGTCCATACCTATACAAACCGAAGCCGGATCGGAGGTGTGTAAATGAACCTTTAGGAGGATATGAAGGATATGAAAGAGTTCACCTGTATATACCTGATAAGTCAAATCGTTGGGGAAAGTATTCTCCGAATTGGGTGTACCGATTCGATTCACATTTTACCACGTGGATATGGAGGCCTTAAAGTAGGTCCTCAAACTCATGAAATTTTTTTTTTTCATAAAAAGTTTATGTATTTATCATTGACTAGAACTAACATGGCGTAGTCCGGGCACGTTTTCGATGTTTTACGCTTCTTGGAGGCTTAGAATCGAAAATGAAGAGTTTCAGAACCTAATTCGAACAATTTAGAATACCGTAAAAATGGAATATTACAGAGTCAGATGGGACAGTGTGGTTAATATTTTCACCAACAATTGCAAGAAAATGCTGGCTTGTCTTGCGGCTAACGTATGTTTTTAGACCAAAATTTAGTTACAACTAAACACAGAACACAACAACACAGATGGCGACGTTGCTTCGTCAACATTTAAACAGTCGTGAATTCATGGGATTTCGGCAGTTTTACATCGACCTTTTTATCATTACTTTACCGAAATGACATATAAAACCCTTCAATTTGTATAATTCTTAACGTAGACTGTAAAAGACTTAAACATCGTCCCTCGCAAATAGTGTAATATAATACGGTTGAGTAACTTTTGGGTCGTTGGGTCGTGAGATTTTTCCGTTTCTCTTCTTTTTCTGGGTTCCCCGCGGTCGGAGGCGAAGAAGCCACGCAGCGACCGCGTGGTCACCCGCGTCGCGTTCCGGGAGCGCGGGGCACAAGTCCCAATTTTGGCGCAATTTTCCTCGCGCTGTTCCCTTAAACCTTTTTTGATGTTATCTAACGCATCGTAATTTTCTGAGAGAGGTTCTCTCTCCATTTTCGACCGAGTCGGTCCTATACCGCCTTTGTAAATAGGACAGACTACTTTGAAAACCCCCTCCACTTAATTCTCTTCTTTTGCGAAAACCATTATTTTCTTAGTAATCCAGTGTTGTTAATTCATTCACGGTCCGACCATTTTCCCTTCTCCCTTTCACTTTCCGTCTCAGGGCCAAGATAAAATAATAGTGTTGAGTACGCCGTAGAGTTTTGGAAAATTCGTTCGTTAATAGTCCTTACCCCGCCCGCTGTTAGGTCGGGGATCGTTTACTCGGGAGCGGTGATGGCGATTACCCGAGGATGTCGATCGGACCGTGCCTCGTGGGTTTGTTTTTGGGGACTCGCTTCCAGATGGTTGAAACCAGCCAAAGACCTCGTCGAGTAAAGTAACGAAGATACTTTATTTTCGATGCCTCTTGGTTTTACAGGAACGACTCGTAGATTCGGTCAACTCAAGGGGACTAGCGTTTGCCGAGAGTTACAGGTGCCTCGCACGCAGGTTACAGAATGGAGACAGTTCAGACTTCGATAGATCAGAGAGCGAGCCCTTCGGAGCGGGCCTTTTTATACTGACCTAGGATGTTCCTAGGCGCGGAGGAATACTTCATTATTTTGTATTCTTCAATAGACAAAACTATTTGTTGAAACAATAGGTCTCATCTGTCAGGAATTTGTGAAAAAAAGCCTTTGAAATTTAGCACTTTTCTCATAATAATATAAACTACCAAATTGTATAGAAACAGCTGATCTGCGGCGGCAAGAAAGGGGGGATGCCGAGAAAGAGAACGAATGTGTTAGCCAACTGTGTTCGACACCACGGGAGAAAGAGAGATGTACAGAAGGAGGCGGAGTGTCTCCGAGAAGAGTGGGAGAGGCCCGGTAGACAGTGTGAGTAAGACGAAGAGAGAATGTATTTCCGACATAATGAGAGAACATGAGATAGAAAATGACAGAGGTAGAGGGGTGGAAGCGACCGCGGCGCCACCATGCAGTTGGCTAACATAACTAAAATGTTAGCCAACTTTTTCGGGTATCAGAGGCCCGTATCCTTCTGGGCCCCTATGGGGACATCTGTATTCTTTACAGGGGTAGGCGACCCCGTGGATAATTGCACGTCACAGTGCATACATAAATGCGCACGTCCATGCATTCACATGTGTTGCTGACTCGGAGATAAGTCGGGACGTTGAGATAGTATAAAAGTTATTTTCCACGTCTGGAGAAAAGTCGCAAACAATATTGAATCGTTATCATTACGTAAAAATAGACAATGCCCACACGATTCCCCTCGTGCAAATCAAATGTGTTAGAGCAATAATCATTCGTTGCTGCTTCATCTGTTTTCTGTCAGTTGTATACCTGCTCTTCCTATTTGTTCTCTGTGCAAACAATTTCAACGAAAATGTCAGCAACGTTAAGTTCACAGGATACTATTTCTGGTTTGCTGGATATCACGACTCCCCTAAATAGTGCCTTCAAGGGGATTTATATGCGGTAAGTTGCTAATTCTTAGTTCCTAACCCGAAATCAGAATGTTGATAAAAAATCTGAGTTTCATTGTGATGGAAATGTTAATATCGTGATATTGCGTTAATTACTTACTTTCGTTCTGTTCTTCAATTGTAGTCATTTACAAAATAGCTTGCTTACGGACGTCAATTAAAGTGGAACTATTAAAAATAGTTATCTGTAATTATAAGTAATTGGATTGAAAATAAATCGTTTTGTCTCAACCTTACAGGAGTTATGCTTTCGTTACGATGAAAGATCGACTGCCTGGAATCTTAACTAAAGTGACCGATATTTTAAGTCGAGATAAAGAGGAAATAGGCAGCAAATACGGGAAGGTAATTTTTACGAATTAGAAGAACATGTGTAACATTTTATTACTAGAGCATAATTGAGAAAACTACTCGTATCAGCAAATTCACAAAATAATTCCTGAATTCAATTTTGCATGAATAAGGTACCATGACCCTGAAAAATTGATAAAAAGAGTATACTACATTAGCTTATTAATTGCAATTTTTCCTAATATTAATGGTTTTTCTAATAATCTGTTTGTTTTTTTACACAATGAACCATATCACAATGAGCAAATTATGAAATTTTAACAGGAATCGCTGGAGGAATTGAAAGATGTTATAGAACGTATTAATGAATTGAAAAATGAAATCGTCACAAATAAACCACTGAAGCCGTTAACTCCTGTTCCCGATGATGGCAATGATGATTCTAAAATATGGAATAACTATCTTGAAGAAACTACCAAAAGAGAGGGGCAGGTTCCTAATTGGTTTCAAGCAACCTGGCTGTATAGCGAGGGTTACATGTATCGCAGGCTTGCACAGGAGTTCGCCCTCACGTAAGATACTTGTTAATATTGTATAGTCATTAATTGAAATGCTTCAAAAGGAAATATATTTTGTGATCAAAAAGTCGACATGTATATACTANTACCGAAAACTCTTAGCCGATATTAATTTTGCATATACTACAAGCTTTATACAAGCCTTGCAAGGTTTTTTACCGACTAACATTTTGAGCTTGAGAACTATTAAATCAAACGGTTGCGTTGGATTACAACCTGGTAAAGCAGAATCACTAACAGAAATGGATGAAAACTGGATGATAACTGGTAGGTACGGTCTTATCCAAGCCACTGTTGATACAGGATGTCCGTGCACAAAATGAACTTGAATTGATAACTTGGAAATTTTATAAGAGTCATATAAGAAGAAATAGTTCTTATAAAACTACCTTCGACTGATTCAATTTTATAACATTTCGACATCACCATCGCCTTCACTTAACATCTACAAGCTCTCTTTTCATATCTAACGCAAATATAAATGTCATGACAAACTATTAACATATCTGTCCGCCATAATTATTTATGGATTCATTTAAATAAAATTTGTACAATTATGCTTTCGTTTCACTTCCATGACTTTTCATATTGTTTGTAAAAAATGTACAAATACTTGACAAGAGGTATTTGAAAAATGGTTTCATTTGAATGTATTTGCTGAACTACTACATGTGCCTTGACAACAGTGACATAGAATGCTTCAACAGCCGTAGCATAATGCTATCTGGAATAATATTGATTTTATTATTACACTTAGTCATAACACAAGATATTTAATTACATTAACTAATGTGGTAATGATAGTAAGTAACTATTATTCGTAAATGTACGATGTTCCCTGTTCTATAAATTTTTGTACACTTATTCGCTATACCTTATATCAAATAATGCAAAGTGATATTCCAATTGAAAAACTGAATTTTATTTTTCCCCGTTTCTCCCCTATGTCACTTTCTTCGAGATACCTAGTTATCGCTGATTACATCCTTGCAATGATTACGCTAATACATGTAGTTTACAATCGATATTTACATTTATCCTTTCACATGCCGTTGTGCATCGTTAATTAATGTGTTTAAGCTACTTGTGATAATTTCTATTAATGAACCTAGAAAAAAATGACTATTTAGAGAAACTGTTATCAAATCTCGTGACTAATGGAATCTATGCGATACTTTTTCCGTTTGTGTCGTACGAAACCGGCAATAAGAGTGATTAACGGGAACGTTTATATTTGAGGGAAGCAATAACTAAAATGTCTTATCTTTTACGTACTATACAATAAGATTATAACCAATAGATCATTGAAGTATTGCCTCCGAATTAAGTACCTTTCTCGCTACTTTCGTTTGCAAAGGGTCCGTCAACTATACGTAGGATGATATTTCTAGTCCGTTTGAAAGTCTTGAGATCGCTGTGACGCGATTTTTCCCATGCGAAAACCTCGTGCACTTTCGTCGGTCCGCGCTCTCGCCTCCCTCCCCGTTCTCCAACTATCTGCTGGGCGCCAGCTGATTTTTGGATCCTCGGAACCAGCAACCCGGTCTGATCGAAATCGTAACTCGCAAAACTTATCAGTTAAGGTGAAGTGAAACACGTCGAGGAACTTGATTGACGTCGATAAAGAAGATTTTTCTAAATGCCTACGTTGCCGACGTTCGTTTTTATATTGACAGCTGTGTCGAATTATATTGGACATTGTACCAAATGGCATACTCCACCTGCCCTTCTCGTACAATAATTATAAAGAAATCGAAGTAAAACTCCAGAAATCCTCTGGATTCATGCTTTCTGGGGCTCTAATTGACTGCAGAGGGACCCCCGTGCGCCATCTGTGATTTTCAGGTCAATTAAATTTTCACTCCGAGACCTCGTATTACCATCGTTTTAGCGTAGAAGCGCATACAACATTTTTTTTGCCTTTATCTCGTTCAAATGCGAGTTTATCGATTACCAGAGTGTTCTAAATTGTCGTAAAATTGTCCTGACCCTTTCGATTCTCATATCAGAGCCTTCGATAATTGCATATTGATCGAAATATGAGAGCTCGACGCCATTTTGGTTCAGGTCTGGGCTCAGTTAACAAATTTTTTTTAAAAAATCCAATTTTTGAATGGGTCAGGACAATTCTTATTGTTAGAGCTCCCCGGAGATCCCTAATCGTCTCTGTGATGGTGGTCCTGGGACGGTCGGAAATACGTCACATCGCATAACGTCCTTAACATTTACGTTCTGACTTTGAATATCGTCCTTAGAGACAGAAAGAGAGGGGGAGAGAGAGAGTACGTGTGAATTTAACAAAATATATAATTACTCTATCTGACCGTACGGTGACATTAATTACGGATTTGAGGATATTGTGCATTAAATGTCCAATCTTAAAATATTCCCATCAGATGATATCCGTGATATCCAACAACTATCAGATGATATTCCGGTATCATCCTCAGCGTTAAAGTACTCCTTACTGACGAATTCTCTCTTAATTAACTCATTCCTAAAAAAAAAGATAATATAATTCATAATACTTCTTAGAATGTGGCTCCCGAAATAAGTGAAGAAGGTACAACACTTCTTGATATTCTATGTATGATGAAAAGCACCCAGAACGGTTTACCCTATTAACGCATTACAATAAAGATTCAGATTTGATCGAATTTAAACCGAATCTTCGGTCTATAATACCCTTAAACACGCAACAGGTATACAGACAAAGTTAAAGTCGAAATCACGTACTCTGATGTACCACCTTTTAAATATTGATTAAAGATCTTGATCTTTAGAAACTGTTTTGGCTAATCATTGAAGTCCACAATTTTTTTTATCGAGAACGAACAGGATTTAACTCCTTGTTTTATAAGCAATCAGTTACACTCGTACCAAACGCCACGCCAAGTACGTTAATTCATAGGAAAAATTATAAATCATGGGATTAATATTATATAATGATATTATCTGATCTTTAACACGTCGAATGTCGTAGGTGGTCACCGGTAAACGACAACCGCATTACAATAGTTTGACCGTCACATTTTGGTATACAACGTGTTAAAGACGTGTAAATAAATTGAATTCATTCGCTGGTGTGTTTCAATTTTGCAGCACGCATCGTAGGTCAGATATTAAATTATAAAGATTTTTCCGATGCTACTATACGCAAGTAGGTATGCACCCAAGAAATTGCACACGTGTAAAATCTAATGCACGGACTGTGTGTCGTCGTAGTAACTGTTTTAAATCTTCTTTAAAGTAAAACTTCTGACTACAGTTAAAAAAAATCTCATTTAACATGAGCTTGATACCAGGTTCTCCACCGCTATCTATAGGCATGGATGCCATCGACTGATCCCTTTCACCCTCGTATTTTTCCGTATATTTTACATATTATACTTTACTTTTGTTCCAATATTATAAACTCATATTTTCATACTACTTCGACTAATGAATAGTTGCAAATAAAAACACTAGTCATTGAAATCATCATTTCACATAACTTGTGAACGTTTTATTAAAAGAATAATCGACAAAAGGAAAGTTACTAGCGGCAATAGAGTTCATATCAACTTATTAAAAGACTTCATGAGCGTGAACATGAATATTAAATCATTAGCAAATTTAAAGCCACATCCTAAATAGAAATTCTAGAAAAATATATTAATATGTTGTTAGTAATTACAAATAAAAGTGGAATAATTTCTTTCCATATTAAATGAAAATAGTAAATAGTAGTCCTTCTGAATAAATTCACTTCAACTTGCCTATGAAGTAACATTTAAAAGTATTGTTTCATTTCCCTGAATTAATTGAATTCATTTAGTACAACATATATTAAGTACATTGTAAATACGTGTTTTAAATTGTTGCACAATTACCATTACCCTTCGGTTTCTCACATTAGAACCTTCAATAATTGTACATTGATAAAAATGAGAAAGCTCGACGCTATTGTGATTCTGGTCCAGGCTAAAACCAAACATTTCTTCGAAAGACCAAATTTCTACTGTGTCAGGATAATTTCTAACTGCTCACGAGTCATGTGTCAACGTTTCAGACAGTTCGGTCCAATACTCTTAAAAAATAGTGTCTCATTCGAATCGACTGATTTCAGGGGGGGTTCATTTCACTTTTATTCGTCCGATTATCTGATTCCAATAGATCATTGAAGTATTGCCTCCGAATTAAGTACCTTTCTCGCTACTTTCGTTTGCAAAGGATCCGTTAACTTTTGTCACAACCTTACAGGAGTTATGCTTTCGTTACGATGAAAGATCGACTGCCTGGAATCTTAACTAAAGTGACCGATATTTTAAGTCGAGATAAAGAGGAAATAGGCAGCAAATACGGGAAGGTAATTTTTACGAATTAGAAGAACATGTGTAANGGGGGGGTTCATTTCACTTTTATTCGTCCGATTATCTGATTCATAATCATGAATGGAATTTGCGTAGGAATTGATCGTTGATATCTCTGTAATTTTTATTAACTCTAAATCTCTAAAACTCTAAACTCTAATTTTTATTCCAATTTTGTCCACTTAGGGATATCTATCGTCCCCGTAAAGCTGTTGAATATTGCATCTTTCGACGATTGTTCTCATGTTGGAACATTATTTCGAATGATAGGTACATATGTATATACATGCGCACGTGCATGCGTGCAACATGTGGCTGCTGACTCCGAGATAAGACGGGACTTTAAGAGAGGATAAAAGTTATTTTCCACGTCTGGAGAAAAGTCGCAAACAATATTGAATCGTTATCATTACGTAAAAATTGATAATGTCCACACGATTGCACTCGTGCAAACCAAATGGGTTAGACAGCAGTAATCATTCGTTGCTGCTTCACCTGTTTTCTCTCGGTTGTATACCTACTCTTCGTATTTGTTCTCCGTGCAAACAATTTCAACGAAAATGTCAGCAACGTTAGGTTCACAGGATACTATTTCTGGTTTGCTCGATATCACGACTCCCCTAAATAGTGCCTTCAAGGGGATTTATATGCGGTAAGTTGCTAATTCTTAGTTCCTAACCCGAAATGAGAATGTTGCAAAAAATCTGAGTTTTATAGTGATGGAAATGTTAATATCGTGATATTGCGTTAATTACTTACTTTCGTTCTGTTCTTCAATTGTAGTCATTTACAAAATAGCTTGCTTACGGACGTCAATTAAAGTGGAACTATTGAAAATAGTTATCTGTAATTATAAGTAATTGGATTGAAAATAAATCGTTTTGTCACAACCTTACAGGAGTTATGCTTTCGTTACGTTGAAAGATCGACTGCCTGGAATCTTAACTAAAGTGATCGATATTTTAAGTCGAGATAAAGAGGAAATAGGCAGCAAATACGGGAAGGTAATTTTTACGAATTAGAAGAACATGTGTAAGACATTTTATTACTAGAGCATAATTGAGAAAACTACTCGTATCAGCAAATTCACAAAATAATTCCTGAATTCAATTTTGCATGAATAAGGTACCATGACCCTGAAAAATTGATAAAAAGAGTATACTACATTAGCTTATTAATTGCAATTTTTCCTAATATTAATGGTTTTTCTAATAATCTGTTTGTTTTTTTACACAATGAACCATATCACAATGAGCAAATTATGAAATTTTAACAGGAATCGCTGGAGGAATTGAAAGATGTTATAGAACGTATTAATAAATTGAAAAATGAAATCGTCACAAATAAACCACTGAAGCCATTAACTCCTGTTCCCGATGATGCCAAAGATGATTCTAAAATATGGAATAACTATCTTGAAGAAACCGCCAAAAGAGAGGGGCAGGTTCCTATTTGGCTTCAAGTGATCTGGCTGTATAGCGAGGGTTACATGTATCGTAGGCTTGCACAGGATTTCGCCCTCACGTAAGATGCTTGTTAATATTGTATAGTCATTAATTGAAATGCTTNGATATTTAAAGGGGATCTGAATTACCGGAAACTCTTAGCCGATATTAATTTTGCATATACTACAAGCTTTATACAAGCCTTGCAAGGTTTTTTACCGACTAATATTTTGAGCTTGAGAACTATTAAATCAAACGGTTGCGTTGGATTACAACCTGGTAAAGGAGAATTACTAGCAGAAGAGGATGAAGACTGGATGATATCAGGTAGGTACGGACTTATCCAAGCCACTATTGATACAGGGTGTCCGTGCACAACATGAACTTGAATTGATAACTTGGAAACTTTATAAAAATCATATAGGAAGAAATAGTTCTTATATAACTACCTTCTACTGATTCAATTTTATAACATTTCGACATCACGTTCGCCTTCACGTAACATCTACAAGTTCTCTTCTCATATTTAACGCATAAATAATTATACCATGACAAACTATTGATGTGTCTGTAGACCACTATTTTGTATGGATTTATTTAAATAAAATATGCACACTTATGCCTTCGTTTCACTTCCATAAATTTCATTTTAGTTCTATACATTTTTGTACACTTATTCGGTATACCTTATATCAAATAATGCAAAGTGATATTCCAAACGAAAAACTGAATTTCACTTTTGCCCGCTTCTCCCCTATGTCACTTTCTTCGAGATACCTAGTTATCGCTGATTACATCCTTACAGTGATTACGCTAATACTTGTAGTTTACAATCGACATTTACTTTTCACCGTTTCACATGCCGTTGTGCATCGTTAATTAATGTGTTTGAGCTACTTGTGATAATTTCTGTTAATGGACTTAGAAAAAACTGACTGTTTAGAGAAACTATTATCAAATCTCGTGACTAATGGAATCTATGTGATACTTTTTCCGTTTGTGTTGTACGAAACCGGCAATAAGAGTGATTAACGAGAACGTTTATATTTGAGAAAAGCAATGACTAAAATGTCTTATCTTTTACGTACTGTAAAGTGGGATTATGACCAATATATCATTGAAGTATGGCCTCCGAATTAAGTACCTTTCTCCCTACTTTCGTTTGCAAAGGATCCGTTAACTATACGTAGGATGATATTTCTAGTCCGTTTGAAAGTCTTGAGAACGTAAAAGGGCATAGCGCCCTTAACATTTACGTTGTGACTTTGAATATCGTCCTTAGAGGCAGAAAGAGAGAGGGAGAGAAATTGTACGTGTGAATTTAACAAAATATATAATTACTCTACCTGACCGTAGAGTGACATGAATTATGGATTTGAGAATATTGTGTACTAAATGTCCAATATTAAAATATAATCATGAAATAATATATGTGATATCTAACAACTATCAGATGACATTCCTGTATCATCGTCAGCGTTAAAGTACTCCCTACTGACGAAATTCCTCTTAAATAACTTATTCCTAAATAAAAGTATAATATAATTCATAATACTTCTTAGAATGTGGCTCCCGAAATAAGTGAAGAAAGTACAACACTTCTCGATAATCTATGTTTAATAAAAAGGGCCCAGAACGGTATACCCTATCAACGCATTACAATAAAGTTTCAAATAGATTTGATTGAATTTAAACCGAATCTTCGGTCTACAATACCCTTAAACACGCAACAGATATATAGACGAAGTTAAAGTCGAAATCACATACTCTGATGTACCACCTTTTAAATATTGATTAAAGATCTTGATCTTTAGAAACTGTTTTGGCTAATCATTGAAGTCCACAATTTTTTTTATCGAGTAACGAACAGGATTTAACCACTTGTTTTCTAGCATTCAGTTACATTCGTACCAAACGCCACGCCGAGTACGTTAATTCATAGGAAAAATTATAAATCATGGGATTAATATTATATAGTGATATTGCCTGATCTTTAACACGTTGAATGTCGTGGGTGGTCACCGGTAAACGACAACCGCATTACAATAGTTTGACCGTCACATTTTGGTATACAACGTGTTAAAGACGTGTAAATAAATTGAATTCACTCGCTGGTGTGTTTCAATTTTGCATCACGCTTCGTAGGTCAGATATTAAATTATAAAGATTTCTCCGATGCTACTATACGCAAGTAGTTATGCACCCAAGAAATTGCACACGTGTAAAACCTAATGCACGGACTGTGTTGTCGTAGTAACTGTTTTAAATCTTCTTTAAAGTAAAACTTCTGACTACAGTTAAAAAAAATCTCATTTAACATGAGTTTGATACCAGGTTCTCCACCGCTATCTATGGGCATGGATGCCATCGACTGATCTCTTTCACTCTCGTATTTTTCCGTATATTGTACATATTATACTTTACTTTTATGGACCAATATAACAAACTCAGATTTTCATACTACTTCGACTAATGCACAATCGCAAATATAAACATTAGTCATTGAAATCATCAATTCACGTAACTGGTGAACGTTTTATTAAAAGAATAATCGACAAAAGTAAAGTTGCTAGCGGCAATAGAGTACATATCAACTACTATAATGCAACCTTACATACTCAGCTGAAAACCTAAGTAACCAGTACAATGCAATCAGGTTGAACAAGAGAGCCTTAATGATTTTGATGCGAATAAAGATGTACATTTCTTAAATTCTTTTTTACAGGAAGAGTCATTTTGGACTCAACCTTACGACTATCCACAAATGAAAATTCACGATCCTGTATTATATGCAAAACTCTCAGAAGCAACTCTAGTGATATTTAAAGGGGATCTGAATTACCGAAAACTCTTAGCCGATATTAATTTTGCATACACTACAAACTTTGTACAAGCTTTGCAAGGTTTTTCTCCTACTAACATTTTGAGCTTGAGAACTATTAAATCAAACGGTTGCGTTGGATTACAACCTGGTAAAGCAGAATCACTAACAGAAATGGATGAAGAATAATTTCTTTCCATATTAAATGGAAATAGTGAATAGTAGTCCTTCTGAATAAATTCACTTAAACTTGCCTATGAAGTAACATTTAAAAGTATTGTTTCATTTCCCTGAATTAATTGAATTCATTTAGTACAACGTATATTAAGTACATTGTAAATACGTGTTTTAAATTGTTGCACAATTGCCATTACCCTTCGGTTTCTCACATTAGAACCTTCAATAATTGTACATTCATCGAAATAAGAAAGCTCGACGCTATTTTGATTCCGGTCCAGGCTAAATCCAAACTTTTTTTTAGAAAGTCCAAATTTTTACTGTGTCAGGATAATTCCTAGCAGCTCACGAGACATGTGTCAACGTTTCAGACAATTCGGTCCAATACTCTTTAAAAAAAAGTGTCTTACTCGATTCGATTGATTTCAGGGGGGTTTCATTTCACTTTTATTCGTCCAATTAACCGATTCATAATCATGAATGGAATTTGCGTAGGAGTTGATCGTTGATATCTCTCTGTAATTTTTATTAAATGCTAATTTTTATTCCAATTTTATCCATTTAGGGATATCTATCGTCCCCGTAAAGCTGCTGAATATTGCATCTTTCGGCGATTGCTCGATGTTGGAACATTATTTCGAATGATAGGACGTACCAGAGAGCTCATCTCTGGACGCACATCGTGCACACGTGCATGTGCGCAACACGTGTCTGCTGACTCGGAGATAAGACGGGACTTTCAGAAAGGATAAAAATTATTTTCTACGTTTGGAGAAAAGTCGCAAACAGTACTGAATCGTTATCATTACGTAAAAATAGACAATGTCCACACGACTGCATACGTGCGAACCAAATGTTAGACCAAACGGTTAACAGCCATAATCTTTCGTTGGTGTTTCACTTGTTTTCTGTCGGTTGTGTACCTGCTGTTCGTATTTGGTCTCTTTGCAAACAATTTCGACGAAAATGTCAGAAAAGTTAAGTTCACACGATAATATTTTTGGTTTGCTCGATATCACGACACCCCTAAATACTGCCTTCAAGGGGATTTATATGCGGTAAGTTGTTAATTCTTAGTTCCTAACCTCAAATCAGAACGTTGCTAAAAATCTTAGTTTTATTGTGATGGAAATGTTAATATCGTGACATTGCGTTAATTACTTACTTTCGGTCTGTTCTTCAACTGTAGTCATTTAAAAGATAGTTTGCTTACTGACGATAATTAAGGTGGAACTATTGAAAATAGGTATCTATCACTATTAGTAATTCGATTGAAAATAAATCGTTTTGTTTCAACCTTACAGGAGTTTTGCTTTCATTACGTTGAAAGATCGATTGCCTGTAATCTTAACTAAAGTGATTGACATTTTAAGTCGAGATAAAGAAGAAATAGGCACCAAATACGGGAAGGTAATTTTTACAAATTAAAAGTACGTGCGTAAGATATTATTACTAGAGCATAATTGAGAAAACTACTCGTATCAGTAAATTTACAAAATAATTCCTGAATTCCATTTTGCATTAATAAGGTACCAAATCCTGAAAAAATGGTAAAAAGAATATGCTATAATAGCTTTTTAAATGCATTTTTTCCTGATATTAATGGTTTTTCTAAGAATCTGTCTCATTTTTACACAATGTACCATATCATAATGGGCATATTATGAAATTTTAACAGGAATCGCTAGAGGAATTGAAAGATGTTATAGGATGTATTAGTAAATTGAAAAATGAAATCGTCACAAATAAACCACTGAAGCCGTTATCTCCTGTTCCCGATGATGCCCAAGATGATTCTAAAATATGGAATGACTATCTTGAAGAAACTACCAAAAGAGAGGGGCAGCTTCCTACTTGGTTTCAAGTGATCTGGCTCTATAGCGAGGGTTACATGTATCGCAGGCTTGCTCAGGATATCGCCCTCACGTAAGATGCTTATTAATGTTGTATAGTCATTAATTGAAATGCCTAAAATATAAATATATATTATGATCAAAAAGTCGACATGTACATAGTAGATGTAAAACCGAAGTAATACATTCTAGGAGAACATTACAATGTCATGATTATTTTGCAAAACTAAAACAAAATGAGTTTTGGCATGCGAAGAATAACATTCATTTTGTAAGTGTATACCTTGTGGACCTTTTCAATAGAAATGAAAACATTTCAACAGCAGAACGAAAACATGAATTTATTAAGTTACTTAAATTGAGTTTGTGGGCAAATCGGTAAGTGTCTATTTTTCTCGTAAATCCATTATACAGTTCAGTGTTACATGACCTTAATTTCAATTTGCAGATGTGATTTATGTTTAAATGTTGGGACTCCTTCCAACCAAGGTGGAAATCCAATTGAATTGTTAGAATCTTTTGAAAGTGATATCCTTGTAAATGATTCGATGTTTGTGTGGGATCTTCTAAATAAAAATAAGACAGCAGACATTGTAATTGTTGATATAGTTCTAGACAATGCAGGATATGAACTTTTCGTGGATTTCTGCTTGGCGATCTTTTTAATAGCTCAAAACCTCGCTCAAAAAATACGGTTGTATGTTAAACGTATTCCATGGTATGTGAGCGATACCACTATTAATGATTTCCATTGGATTATTGAGAAAATGAAGGCGTCTTCCAATAACGAACTCAAAACGTTAGGGGAAATTGCTTCGAGTCATTTAAAAAGTCATGTATGGACCATTGAAGTAAGTTTATAAACATTATAACTAATGTAAAATTTTAACTATAATGCCACCTTACATACTCAGCTGAAAACCTAAGTAACCAGTACAATGCAATCAGGTTGAACAAGAGAGCCTTAATGATTTTGATGCGAATAAAGATGTACATTTCTTAAATTCTTTTTTACAGGAAGAGTCATTTTGGACTCAACCTTACGACTATCCACAAATGAAAATTCACGATCCTGTATTATATGCAAAACTCTCAGAAGCAACTCTAGTGATATTTAAAGGTGATCTGAATTACCGAAAACTCTTAGCCGATATTAATTTTGCATACACTACAAACTTTGTACAAGCTTTGCAAGGTTTTTCTCCTACTAACATTTTGAGCTTGAGAACTATTAAATCAAACGGTTGCGTTGGATTACAACCTGGTAAAGCAGAATCACTAACAGAAATGGATGAAAACTGGATGATAACTGGTAGGTACGGTCTTATTCAAGCCACTGTCGATACAGGGTGTCCGTGTGCAAAATAAACGAAAATTGATAACTTGGGAACTTTATAAGAGTCATATACGAAATGGTTCTTATAAAACCACCTTCTACGGATTCAATTTTATAACATTTCGATATCACCTTTACCTTCACTTAACATCTACAAGCTCTCTACTCATATGTAACGCAAATATAAATGTCATGACAAACTATTAACGTGTCTGTCCACCATAATTTTTTATGGATTCATTTAAATAAAATATGCACAACAATGCTTTCGTTTCACTTCCATGACTTTTCATATTGTTTGTAATTAATGTACAAATACTCAACAAGAGATATTTAAAAATGGTTTGATTGGAATTTATTTGCTGAACTATTACATGTGCCTTGACGGCAGTGGCATAGAATGCTTCAACAGCCGTAGCATAATGCTATCTGGAATAATATTTATTTTATTATTACACTTAGCCATAATACAAGTTATTTAATTACATTAACTAATGTGGTAATGATAGTAAGTAACTATTATTCGTAAATGTACGATGTTCCCTGTTCTATAAATTTTTGTACACTTATTCGCTATACCTTATATCAAATAATGCAAAGTGATATTCCAATTGAAAAACTGAATTTTATTTTTCCCCGTTTCTCCCCTATGTCACTTTCTTCGAGATACCTAGTTATCGCTGATTACATCCTNTGGAATAATATTTATTTTATTATTACACTTAGCCATAATACAAGTTATTTAATTACATTAACTAATGTGGTAATGATAGTAAGTAACTATTATTCGTAAATATATGATGTTCTCTGTTCTATAAACTTTTGTACACTTATTCGCTATAACTTATATCAAATAATGCAAAGTGATATTCCAATCGAAAATCTGAATTTCACTTCTCCCCGTTTCTCCCCTATGTCACTTTCTTCGAGATACCTACTTACCGCTGATTAAATCCTTACAGTGATTACGCTAATACATGTAGTTTACAATTGATATTTACTTTTGCCGTTTCACATGCCTTTGTACATCGTTAATTAATGTGTTTGAGCTACTTGTGATAATTTCTATTAATGGATCTAGAAAAAAATGACTGTTCAGAAAAACTATTATCAAATCTCGTGACTGATGGTATCTATGCGATACTTCTTGCGTTTGTGTCGTACCAAACCGTCAGTAAGATTGATTAACGAGAACGTTTATATTTGAGGAAAGCAATGGCTAAATGTCTAATCTTTTACGTACTGTACAATGGGTTTATGACCAATATATCATTGAAGTATGGTCTCAGAATTAAGTATCTTTCTCGCTACTATCGTTTCCAAAGAATCCGTTAACTATACGTAGGATGATATTTCTAGCCCGTTTGAAAGTCTTGAGACCGCATAACGCCCTTAACGTTTACGTTCTGACTTTGAATATCGTCGTTAGAGACAGAAAGAGAGAGGGAGAGAGAGAAAGTACGTGTGAATTTAACAAAATATATAATTATCTCTATCTGACCGTAGGGTGACATCAATTATGGATTTGAGGGTATTGTACACTAAAAGTCCAATCTTCAAATATAACCATCAGATGATATATTTCCGGTATCATCGTCAGCGTTAAAGTACTCCCTACTGACGAAATCCCTCTTAACTAACTTATTCCTAAAAAATTAGGATAATATAAATTATAATACTTCTTAGAATGTGGCGCTCAAAATAAGTGAAGAAGGTACAACACTTCACGATAATCTATGTTTAATGAAAAAGACCCAGAATGTTTTGCCGTATTAACGCATTACAATCAAATTTCAAACAGATTTGATTGAATTTAAATCGAATCTTCAGTCTACAATACCCTTAAACACGCAACAGGTATATAGACGAAGTTAAAGTCGGAATGACGTACTCTGATGTACCACATTTTAAATATTGTTTGAAGATTTTAATCTTTCGAAACTGTTTTGGCTAATCATTGGAGGCCACGATTTTTTTTATCGGTAACGAACAGGATTTAACCACTTGTTTTCTAGCATTCAGTTACATTCGTACCAAACGCCACGCCGAGTACGTTAATTCATAGGAAAAATTATAAATCATGGGATTAATATTATATAATGATATTGCCTGATCTTTAACACGTTGAATGTCGTGGGTGGTCACCGGTAAACGACAACCATTTTGGTATACAACGTGTTAAAGACGTGTAAATAAATTGAATTCACTCGCTGGTGTGTTTCAATTTTGCATCACGCTTCGTAGGTCAGATATTAAATTATAAAGATTTCTCCGATGCTACTATACGCAAGTAGTTATGCACCCAAGAAATTGCACGCGTGTAAAACCTAATGCACGGACTGTGTTGTCGTAGTAACTGTTTTAAATCTTCTTTAAAGTAAAACTTCTGACTACAGTTAAAAAAAATCTCATTTAACATGAGTTTGATACCAGGTTCTCCACCGCTATCTATGGGCATGGATGCCATCGACTGATCTCTTTCACTCTCGTATTTTTCCGTATATTTTACATATTATACTTTACTTTTATGGACCAATATAACAAACTCAGATTTTCATACTACTTCGACTAATGCACAATCGCAAATAAAAACATTAGTCATTGAAATCATCAATTCACGTAACTGGTGAACGTTTTATTAAAAGAATAATCGACAAAAATAAAGTTGCTAGCGGCAATAGAGTACATATCAACTTATTAAAAGACTTCATGAGCGTGAACATGAATATTAAATCATTAGCAAATTTAAAGCCACATCCTAAATAGAAATTCTAGAAAAATATATTAATTTGTTCTTAGTAATTACAAATAAAAGTGGAATAATTTCTTTCCATACTAAATGAAAATAGTGAATAGTAGTCCTTCTGAATAAATCCACTTCAACTTGCCTATGAAGTAACATTTAAAAGTATTGTTTCATTTTCCTGAATTAAATGAATTCATGTAGGCCAACATATATGAAGTACATTGTAAATATTTAAATGAACGAAAACACCAAACTAGTAGTAGGTTTGCATTTATTTCAAGCAATAGAACTTTGTTTAAAATAGTAATGCCTTTATCGTAACTATTATATTTCCTAGTATTATACCCAATGAACGAAGATGTTACAGAAAAATGAACTATACTCTACTGCCAACTAGTGAATTGTATTTTTCAATAAAATGAATAAAAATGATTCTTATGAACCCAATATATTCTGCTATTGATTTAATAACAAAAAAGCTCTTCCTCTATGACTATAAAACCAATCTAGGCGACGTATATTAAGAAACTATGGAAGAAGATCAATCTCACTTATTCTCACTGTTCTTTCTCTACACTGATGTACAAGCATACTAAGTTTTCATTCGCTCTCTAATTTTTTCATCTCGCATCCACACTACATACGAACATATCTGACACGTTATTCATCGTTGTTAAATAACAAATAGTGAAAACACTCGTTATACCAAAGTTTCTTAATACGTTGCAGTGTACAAGTTATTTGGTCTGAGTGCGTAAATATACCGACGCTTGCAACTAAAGGACATGCATAAACCGTAATCCCACTTTTGCGCTAATATTGAATGCTTATCCTTTACACGCCTAAATGAGGGGAAAATGCGTTACTTCGTAAACGCTGCAAATACCGCCCAAAGAACAGGATTTGCATTCGGTTTTGCTGCTTCTGCTTCAAAATCAAGGTCCAAAAGTGTCCGTACTCTTCGCATTGCTACTTCGTAATCATCATCGGATAAAGGTGCAAAAGCATTTTCCAGCACATCGGCAGCATGAGCTAGAATAACTAAGGCCAAAGTCCTCCTGTCCATGCGACCGGCATCGTTAACCCAACGACCTAACACAGCCTCCTGAATCTAAAAAAAATGTTCTATTAAATTACACCGAGTTTAATTAATTCTTTAAATATTAAGATAATTATGCCATACTAAGTGAAAGCGACATATAAGTGTCTCTTCCTAAACAATCATACGAAATCAAATTACTATTGTATCTAATCAATATGGGTACACCCACGCACATCCTAACATCATTTCCTCCTCTACGAAAGCACAGCTTGGGGCCATTAAATCAAATACTACTCCTTGTAAAGAAAAATACTGCAATTTTCAAGGGAATTTTGAGAGAACAATTAATACTTATATTTAATTGTATAAATATAAAAGTCAAACCTTTTTCACAAGGCGAGTTTTAGCAAGGTTGTCGGTAAGCGGATGGGTAGTCATGTCAAACAAAAGAAAGTTCTGCTTTTCCGTGGTCAAAACTCCCTTTTCAACTAGATTTTTTGCTAATCTTTCTCTAACATTCTTTAGTTGATATCGTAATTTCAATGGATTCCATGTTTCTCCTATAACAAGAAAACACATTTTTCAATGTATACTCTATTAAATTAAACTTTACATGTAATATCTATTTTGATGTACTCATACGATAACCAACCACTAAGATATTCGATCCAACTTTGAACAGTCTCTGGAGGATCCGTCTCTTTAAGATGTTTTAGCGCTTCGTCTAAAAGCACATCTCCTGTAGGTGCATTATTCTTAAGAAGCAGTTTTCTCGCCAGAAGACCCCTTTTGCGCATTCCTGCCTTCTCCAACTCTACTCGCCCTCGAAGTCCTAACTCGGCTAAGATACACCCTCGTAACCCAGAACTTATGCAGTCGTTCCAGAACGACGTGTATCCCTGCGAATAAGAAGTACAAGGCTTACATAATAAAAAGTATATTTTTCAAGTATTCTATATTTCCCTAATCTGGTACAATTATTGCCACAAACATAGACATTCTTGTGGTAACATTTTTCCTATTTAATACAATACACCGAATAACAAAACTCCCTTGCGAGCTAAGAGTTACAACTAAAAAGCTGCATGATGCGGTATGATACAAATAGAACCATGTATCACGCTCTGTGATCTGTCTAATATAGTGACCGCTGGTTGTTGGATTTTTAAATGCTCGTCGCTTTCAAAATACCTAGTGACAACTATATATTTTTTATCGGCCAGTCCATCGGCTAATACAGATTCTACAAACCTCTTTATCTTTGAGCCCGAGTAGCAGAACTTCTTCCATAAGTGTCAATCGTGTCTCTTTATCAGAGTCTTCGTCGATTGTAGGGTTCGAATTATAGTCTTTTTGGGAGGAAATATCGGAATCAAACTCGTGGCCAGATAACTTGTCGGAGTTGGCGCCGGCCTGCTCGTTCGAGCCATCCTGTCCCAATCCACTGGCACTGCTGCTGTTAACCACTCTACGCCGCTGTACCAAACCGTCACCCCGATTCATAGTTAGGTCTGCCTGCAGCCGGATCGGAGTCCTACGCGCAAAGGAACGCCACCGTGTCACACCTGGATTATGCGCGCCGTCCAAAAATTAGCGGGCTCGCACCGCGGCATGTATCGGGCGATAAACACGACTCTGTTGACGTTTTCCCAGACACGACATATCTTTCCAAGATGGCCAGAACCCTCCCAGCGATTGGTTTTTTGCTCCTACGAGATCCGCGACTACCTACCTCGATCCACATGCGACTGTCTCTCCTAGTCCGACTGGTTTCTGGTATGACGCACCGCGACAAGCTTCCTCGGTTTACCGAGAGATGGCGCCCTCGGCGCTTCAGACTGACGCTCCACCTAGCGTGTTTCTACCAAACATATTTAACCAATGGAACTAGACACCTCTACGAAAAAATCTAATGCAAGTTTAAGGAATAGAAGATTATCATAAATTATTTACATTGCACAACTACTTACAGAATTTTACAATCCGCTCACACGTTTAAGAATTGCTAAGGTTCCCAGCCTTCCGCTTGTTACGAGAACTCAATACGTGGCAATCCATTATCGTTTCCACGTTTGGTAGCGTCTTGACGATCTCTCGCGTTATCTTCGATAATTCCCGCGCCCACTTGCCTCGAGGGAAAGATTTCGCTTAGTTACGGTTCTCCATTCCATGCAAATTTTAAAGAAAGGAAGAATTAAACTCTTGCATTAACGTAATAGGAGGAAGCAAATACCAGAGGCAAACAATCAGTGGCCGTGTATTTTATCCGAGCCCGTGTGCATTAAACTAACACTATGGCCGACGCAAGTAACAGTCGAGTTAGTCCGTTGTGAGCACACCTGGTGCGGATTCCGCACTTTAAACGCTAGCACGCTTGAAATTCCGCGGTATATGCTATATCCATTTACGGTCCAATAAATGAACTTCGAAAGCAAAAAGGACTATGCGAGGACAAAAGGGGCGTAGAGACTGCAGGACCCAGGAAATAAATTAAATAAATGGAATGTTAGGTTCGCGGACAATCAAGGAGAAGGAATTCGAGATAATAAATCAACTCGATTATCGTGTACGAACACAAGTGTTGCGTAATAATCGGATAAGCGTAATGCAAAATGTTTTCAGATAAAAATTGCCATTCAAATCATGCGTTGCGGAGAAATTGAAGCTATGTGCTTCGAAACTATTGGGTTAAGGCATAAGTCAAAACTTGGTTTAAATCGTTAAAAAAAAACCTCACGTACTTATTCCTAATCCCATTACGAGTACATCTATTCAAAAGCTTATAACGTTCCTAAAATCTACAGGGTTCCATTGCAATGAAATAAAAAAAAATCATTGCACCGAAGAAATATTTCTTTGAATAGCACCAATGAAATATTTTGTTAATTGAAAAAATAATAATTTGCCTCAAATAACCTCAAATAAATCGTCATAATTCCGAAGAAATGTTGCATCCAATATATTCCAGTCTATTTAAGTAAAATAATTATTCTTTGAATTAACAAAATATTTCTTTGGTACTATTCTAAGAGATATTTCATTGGTTCTGACATTTTTTTTCTCAGGTTGGGATGCGATATAAGTCGTGAGATTTTTCGTACAAATAGGTAATTAAAAGAAAAATCTGCACGAACTTATGCCTCAACCTGATGCACCAGGTGCGAATAAATCTTTGAAGAAAGAACTTTTTCCCTGCCACTTCACATTGTACATATAATAGTTCATGCAGGCATGCTATCCACAAGTTAACTGTCCGGTCCCGCGTCACTGCCTACAATAACGGGCATCCAGACCATCTCTTACGAAGTCGATTTAAGCCTCCTCTAAACCACGGATGCTGCTCGCGGATCGAGAATTTCCGCGCGATCCTAATAATATCGCGAGTATTTTTCCAAGCGGCCCTACTCATATCGGCGGAAATAATAGAATCAACGACCCTTGTGCATAGAATCTCGAGACCGCTTCCGCGTTATGAGATGTGCATGCCGCAACTCGCAGTTAAAAAAGTGTCATTATCTTACCCTTGAATTTACATACTTGCGCGATACCACTGACTTCCTTACCGGGTAGGAAACACCTCGATGAGTGCATAGCGTGCATACGTACGTACAGGTGGCTACAATAAAGCGTCTCGACTAGGTACTTCTATTATTTATATCAGCCAGCCACGATATCGCCTTATTGCATAAATATTATCACCACGTGTTGCTCCAGTGTCTCCTTAAGGTGAAATGAAACACGTCGAGGAACTTGATCGACGTCGGTAAAACAGGTTTTTCTAAATACCTACGTTGCCGACGTTTGCTTTTATATTGACAGCTGTGTCGAATTACATCGGGTATCGTACTAAATGGCAAACTCTACCTGTCGGTTTTGTACAATAATTATAAAGAAATCGAAGTAAAACTCCAGAAATCCCCGGATTCATGCTTTCTGGGGCCCTAATTGACTGCAGACGGACCCCCTGCGCCATCTGTGATTTTCAGGTCAATTAAATCTTTACTCCGAGATCTCGTATTCCCATCGTTTTAACATAGAAGCGCATAAGACACTTTGTTGCCTTTATCCCGTTTAAATGCGAGTTTCTTGATTATCAGAATGTCCCAAATTGTTGTACAATTGTCCTGACCCTTTCGTTTCTCATATTAAAGCCTTCGATAATTGGATATTGATCGAAATATGGGAGCTAACGTCATTTTGGTTTTGGTCTGGGCTAGGTTAAAAAATTGTTTTAAAAAATCCAAATTTTTACCGTGTCAAGATAATTCCTAGCTGTTCACGAGTCATGTGTCAAAGTTTCGGACAGTTCGATCCAAACCTTTAAAAAAAGTGTATGATCTCCAGTCGACTGATTTGAGAGGGGTTTCACTTCACCTTAACCTGCCCTTGTTCCCAGCTGCAACGATAATATCGAGACGATTTAATTTTTAAAATCTAAAAACTACTCCGTCTCTTTGTTACCTACATTAAATGTATCCAGGATGTATCACGGTTTTTTGGAAACGCGACATGGTGTTTACAAACGTCAAAGGGACTTTTGGATGAAATTGCTCCCAATTTTGGATGATGACCCGAAAGTTGGTGACTTCAATGCTAGCTCGATCCCTATGAGGATCGGAAAACTTACTGCAGAAGAGAAGTAACTTTAGTTGTCATTGGAATGGGGATTTTGCCTATTGTTCTTTGGAATTCCAATTCGTTGCTTAAATAACTTGAATGTTAACTACTAGGGTACAAAAATCCAAATGCACTATTCGGACAACGAATTGTAGAGCACAGACAAACACGCTTGCAAGAGGTCACACTAAGTGAAAAATTTATTGTCTCAGTGAAATTAATTACTTATCGCAATATAAGGGTTTCTTTCTACAATAATTTCTCAAACGCAGTAAAATTCATTTTGTAAGAATCATGCGTTACAGTCCAAATTAATACCAAGTGGAAACAATTTGAGAAAAGGAATTTCTCGTACAAAAGTGGCCTTAGGCATTGAAAATATGAATGTAAATTATATAATATTTTGGATACAATGTAATATTGCGTTCAAACGACTTGATACTTCACACAAAAAATTATTAATAGCAAATAAACATTGATTGCCGTTGGTACAAGAACGATTTCAACGGTCACCGCCAAAAGTTTGAGAAACAGCACCAGACATATTGATGATTCTATTAAATTCCTGATAGAAAAAAATTATTTCTTTCAGTCTTTCACCCCTTGATATGAATCTACATTTCACTCTAAAACGTTTATGCACAGAACATGTCACGATAACGAATCAAACAGACTCGGTGCAGCTGAGCTTAAGGGCGCTCACCACTCCAGCGATTTTGCAGGGCCTCACGAGGACAACGATTCCGAACGTATTTCTAAACCGATCGAGCTGGACGAGTGCTCATATCGAAGATGAAATGTTGACCTGTGTTTATATGGGAGCGATTTTCGATAAGTGGTCATTTTCATATAAAAAAATACAACGACGTAATTTCAATGCCCTTTTACCTAGGAAGGAGGTGCTTGATCGAAAATCGCTTCCATATAAACACACGTCAACATTTTATCTTTAAAGCGAGCACTCGTTGAGCTCGATCGGTTGAGAAATACGCTCAAAATCGTTGTCCCCGTGGAGCACCTTTTTCAGGATTTTCGAGTTTCCCGCGAGGAATTTGGGCATTTCTTGGCAACCGTTGCCGACTCTAGGCGAAGCGTCCAACTGGCGTGTGCGGGCGGCCGGGTGTCACCCACGTTTCGGCACCTAGTTCAGAGGCGTCTAACCGTTGTGTGAGTCCTATACGTGCAAAATACGCACACATTTTTCGCCCGTTGGTAAACACTGCCCATTATGCGTCGCGTCTCCCTCATCCGAGCGAGAAAGTACGTTTTGGTTACCTCCCACCGAATTCGATTCTAATGCCATCTAGCAGTGGAAGTCATCGTCCCCACTTTGGTAGTAAACGCCGTTAAGGTGAAGTGAAACACGTCGAGGAACTTGATCAACGTCGATAAAGAAGATCTTTCTAAATGCCTACGTTGCCGACGTTCGTTTTTATATCTTCTAAGTTTCACTTCACCTTAAGAAAATTAAGTATTATTTGTAATTTTGCCTTAATTTCATTCCATTTATTTTGTCGATGGACGATCTATTCGACGAGCGAATTAATTTTTTTCTAGTTAAATGACATTTTTGCTCAGCGTATATCATATATGATTTTCGTTAAAATTGAATACACTCAGCTGCAAGTAACTTACACGGCTGTACCTCGAATCGAGGAAGTCATTCCTCCGTGCGCCTTATTTAAGCCTATCTAGCCTAGGTTGTCTCCCTTACCAAGGTCGCATACCTCTATCGATGCACGTTGCATATGCGATCGCACGAAACGAGCTCGCGAGCGGTCTTCATTCATTGCGATTTCCGAGTCCGCGGTCGGGGCTAAATTATCCGGCGACATTCTTACGATAAGTTATTCTCACCTAGAAGCGCGAGGCGGTACCGGAGAAAGCCGAGCAGGCTGTACAGTACATTCTGGCCACCATAGTTACAGTTATCCGCCACGTGTCCAATGCCAATGATGCGGTACTCGTACTTGCACGCTTTACGTAATACGGAGAATTTCTGGGCCCCGTCAAAGATCGCTCTTCCTAATCGACTGTCACTCTTAAGGTGAAGCGAAACACGTCGAGGAACTTGATAGACGTCGATAAAGAAAATTTTACGAAGTACCTACGTTCGTTTTTATATTGACAGCTG